GATTGTGTCATCATTCCATATAGGCGTCTTATTGTGTAATTCTATTAAATTATTCATATGTTTCAATTTCCAGCGTTCTGAAAAAGCATAAAAGAAGAAATTTCATATTTAATTTTATATTTAATGGCCATTCCATATTTTATATATGTTTAACATAAACAACGTGGTAATATTATGTTGCATAATATTTTAACGTGTTAACAAACTTTTAAATTTCTATTCTTCTCATTTTAGATCTGATCGATATTGCTTTAATAGCAAAATTTATACTCAAATTTATATTTATTGTTACGCTTACTAAGCAATGTCTCTGATTTATCTCGCGAACAAATTTCCACCTTCTTTTGATCGGAAGTCATTCCCGGTTTAACGACCGTCATTTTATAGTCCTTTAAAATCTAAAACATTAGTGTCATACACTAGTGCGGCTAATAGTTGTTGCGGATTCGAACGTTCGTCGCGTTTATTCATCAATAAATATCCATTGTCGTAAACCGTGAACTACAATCGCAGAAAATTTGTTCTCAGCTTACCAATATTTAAGATTCTCTTCCTCTTAAAAGACCCGCAGTATCACTTGAAATCAGGTCATTGCACTTGTTGCACTTTTCTTCTTTCAGCCAGCTAATAGAAAAATCTACATAAATATAAACAAATAAAAACTTGTGATTATCAAAATAAATAAATGTAAACGTACCTTCTTCCCAGAATCAAGCTCCAATTGTAAGAAATAAGTCAGGTAAAAGCCATGGTTCACACTTTTTCAATTGCAAGTCATTCTACATTTATAATGCATTTTCTTGTTTACAAATTGTACACATTGTTTGATATGTCCTGACACTGCCTTCTAATTCTGGACTCTGTAAAATATGTAAACATATTTATTACAATTAATTCATTATGTATACATTTATATGTATATGTAACTTTTTGTTTCTCTACTATATAAAACCTATAATATACACAACATTTACAAAAAGAGTATGAATTTTCAATATGTGAATTGAATTCATAGTCAAGACGTAATACGAATTCGTAATATTACTGACAAAAAAAATGGCCGCGCCATAATTGATTGTAATGCTTCACTATCACTTGCGATTAGGGTAGCCATCAAATGTCCGGGAAAAAAAGAGGACGGATAGCTATCCAACCTCGGAGTAACGCGAGAGAAATAAAGTAAAATATTTACCAACAAGATTCCCTAAAACACCGGACGAGCATAAATCACCGCGGACGTCTTTGGAAAATCCACCCGTCTTCGGCATTCCAAGAAAAAGACGGTGTTCAGGGAAAAAAGAGGACCGACGGCAAGATCTACTTGCGATACAACTTATCAATGCGTACACCCGTCACTTTGAGACATGTATTAATTTTCGCGAACTACCGATATTCGCGCGCTAGATAGCAACAAACGCGAAGAAATGACAAAACAATTAGAAAAGAAACGTACTTGAGCTGACCATTCTTGGAAATGCTCTACCGTGTTCTTGGAAGTGCTCTACCGTGTTCTTGGAAATGCTACTGCCGCGAAACACTTTGACAGCCTTGCATCGTTTTCGACGCGTGTGCGGTACTAAATACTTGTTGTTTCGAACGTCCGACACTTTGTGATACATGCATATCACGAATAGTTATGTGAAAAATGACAAAAAATAGTGAAAACTACCTGATTTGAATGCTAGAAGCTCCGTCTCGAGTTGCGCGTCGATTACAGAGATAGTTTCGGTGTTTCTTGTCGCTCGTACCAATTGCAAGCGTAGGTCGCGTCCACATTGTCCAATCGCATTGGTTATGTTTGGTAAAGTGACCAATGCAACAGAATATTGTAAACTCGACCTAAGCTCGCGATTGTTGCGCCAAGTGGAACTTACTCGTGATTGCTCGAGTTTGAACATATTGAAATGCGCGGTAAAGCACAACATGCGATTCTCTTTTGTTCTACATGGACGAGTCCAACCTCCTGTTCCGTTATTACTGGCAGTACTGAAAATTTATAGGTTCACGTTACGTATCCTCTATAGATTGTAGATATCCGATAGATTCAATACTGCCAGTAATAACGGAACAGGACCCAAGTTTCGAGGAAGATCAAAGCAACTGAAGCTAGAACTGAGAGCATATATTTTTAATTCATCAAATTTTTATCATGTCTTGACGTAATAAAACTTTACAATTATTATTATATCTTGACAATTTTAATTCACCAAAATTTATTATGTTATTCAGCGTTGGGTTCCATTTCATGTCGTTGGACGTCACGCACACGAACACGGTTTCGTTTGTGTGCGTGCCTCCATCTCACCGATGCTCTCGATGGTTGGCAATTCTACTTATTGACAGTACAGTGGATGTAGCACGGACTCTAATCGAGATACATTTGTATCGTATGCGCCTGAAAGTGGAACTCGTTTCGTAGTTTATGAGTTCCACGCAAAGTGGAACTTGGCGCTGAAAGTAGCGGCTGGAAACCGTCGTAAAAAAAAACAATGGCATGGCCGCTCTCATGGTCTTCTCTCTGGTTTTGGCCTTGTTTATGCGGGTAATAACTGTTAATTTATGCCAGAATTAGTTAAAGTTCAACTATAGGATTTCAATGCTTCTGTTATATTCTGTTATGCTTCTGTTAATAAACAGAAATATTAAAATCTTAGGCCCGCATAAACCAGGCCTAATCGTATTGATCAAATCAGCCAATTGACCAGCGTGATTGGTCAATTCTACGAGATCTCTATACCTTGCGTTTGCGTTTACGATCAATGTAGAACGCGGGCTTAATGACGGTTGAATTTATCTACTGGAATTTACCGATGCAACTTTATACTTTTTTAATACGGCTAAGTTATCGACTGAGACATTTCACTTCTCTCCCGATAAAGTCTCTTGTCACTTTCTGTGATCCTGATAATACATTTGAAATTTAGCCCGGCCGTAGCAGTTGACTTTCTCGCGCTTATGTTTCTCACATTAATATAGAAAATAAATAAAATTTTACATACAAAGATCTTAGAGCTTTAACTGTAAAATTAAAAAATAACCAAATGTCAAAAGTAATGAAAAGAAGATGTTCTCATACATACAAGTCAGTATACACCGACGCACGTGCACGTAACACGGAATAGAACCACGTCCACATAGCGTACGTATCGACAAGTCGCTACGTAGTTGCCAATATTCACCACCCGTGAACAGGCGCTAGCTTACGGGGCGGAAAAGCGATCGTAAAATTATTTATGCGTCACTCAGGCCCGAATTCATAGTCGTCTCTCAGATCTCAGATCTCAGATCTCAAGAGAAAGAGAAAGAGAGAGAGAAAAAGAGAGGGAAAGAGATGAGATCTGAATCTGAGATCTGAGAGACGACTATGAATTCGGGCCTCAGTTTGTGATTGTTATTCTGGTCGTTCTCTTGTGTCCTTGGAAAATAACAACAATTGTCATTTGTTAATAACAATGATTTATCACATAAGCTTTAGTGAGACGAAAACCACAGGTAAGGTTTGCTAAGTATTATCGTTCAATATATATTTCATTAAGATGTGATGTTCGCGCAGAGTGAACTGGTTATGTTTACATTTGTGCAATATCTTCGATTTTAGATGATGAGGAATAAACAAATTTTTAATTAAAACTAGTGTGCAATTTGTATATATGTGGATCAGCTTGTAATATCTTCTTCACAATCAGAGACATTCGCTGTATTAACTGTACGTAATAAAATAAACAATGAATTCTGGCATTGATTGGGAGACCGAGCATCGTCGCGTTTTGTTGGACGGCAATGCAGCGTTGGAACGTTCGGCGCAATCGGTCGCGAGATCGCAGGCTATCGCAGCGGAAAGCGAACAAATAGGGACTGAAGTGATTTCCGAGCTGGGCGAGCAAAAGGAACGTCTTCTGCGAGCGAAGCGAAGATTGTCGCAGACAGATGAGGAACTCAATAAAACGCGAAAGATTCTGAATATCATGCGAGTGAGAGTTTTGACAAATAAGATTGTTCTCATTTTGATCATACTCTTAGAATTAGTCATTCTCGGTATAATTGTGTATTTGAGGTTTTTTCATAAATAATTCCTTTATTGCTAATAATGTTTTTTTTTTTTTTTATATTGTTGAGTAATTCAATAAAGTAAAAGATTTTAATGTATACGTATGTTAAGAAAAGAAAGTTATATAGTTGTGTTGGCTTGAAACTGAGCGCCGCAAGGTTCCACAATAAAGAATATTGCTTTATAATCACAGAGCAGACTTCAAGTTTTATTTGTTATTTATATGTAACACATGATGTAACATAGTAACGCGAAGAAACGTTAAAAATGGTTATTCTGCACGATGAAGAGTATTATGAAAGTAGAAAACCTGAGCCTGATTTGGGACCGGTGCGTAATTTTTTGCGATTTGTTTGGAATCCACAAAGAAGAACATTGCTCGGCAGAAAAGGAAAAGAATGGGGTATAATTATATGTACTAGTTTTAATATGTAAGAAAATTACAAGCCACTGATCATAAAATTATTGATACACAAATAGTCGAGCTAGGAATCTTCTATCTGTGCTTTCTCAGTGTACTGAGCTCCATTTTCGTGTTGCAAATGTGGATTAGTATTCAATATGTTTCGAAACTAGACAAGCCGTTTTTTCTCTATGAGGGTTTAGTGTCCACATCTGTCAGGAGAGGTTTCCCATTTTACCGTCAATTTCCAGATTTTTATAGTCCAGGTATCTTCTCGTTTTCACATGTTTTGTATAAGACACTGTACAATATTTAAAATTTTTAATATTATTTTCAGAATCATAGATCAAGGTCTTGACTTTGTAATGTCTTATATTTTTTGTAAGCAGGAATTGACTTCAAGCCGAACACTGTGCTGCCCACGACATCTCCCATTATTTGGATCGATAATTCAAGTACAAACGCTCGACCGAAGAGATACATCGAAGCGTTGAATAATTTTCTTCAAGGTATGTATTTAGTATTAAATGAAAGAAGAGTTAAAAAAAAACTATTGTTATTCTGTTTAGAATACAATAAAAGTAAAGAAAATTACAAGACAGTCGCGGAATGCAACAACGGCGTGTTCGGAGTAAAACCTTGTCTTTTCGATGTTGAGAGTCTTGGTGTTTGCGGAAAACCTCCTTATGGGTACACGAATCCGTTGCAACCATGTGTCTTCGTCAAATTTAATAAAGTAAACGATTATAATTGCTTTTTACGCAATCAAAATCATCTTTTGTTATATATTTTTTATTTACGCGTCGTAAAGTTTATTGATTTAAAATTTACTTGCAAAACGCAATTGTTGCATTACAGAGATTCAATTGGATACCTGTACATTATAACAAATCCTCTCAGTTTCCGGAAAATATGCCGCGTTCTCTGCAAGAGACTGTGCGATTTTCGGACAAGGTTCAATTTCAATGAGAATTATGTAACGCGTATACTTACAAATATCTCCGATATTTTTCTAACCAACCGTGAGCCGACGAATCGTTTCTCACACAAAGAACAGACTTAATTCGTTTATAACGATCTTAACAGAATTATGTCTGGCTGTGGTGCGACGGATCGAATAATGTTGACAAAGAACACGTCGGAGAAATCGAATACTTACCGAAGCCTGGTTTTTCCGTGCAGTATTTTCCGTTCGTCGGGCAACCGGATTATTTAGCACCAGTGGTCGCGTTACGATTCAAAAATATCACACGTAACCCAACATCAATCGAAATTTTTTGAGATTATTGACTTTTTCTTTACATAGATAACATTGCACTTTATTAACGTCATGTAATTTTCTATAGCATTTAGACTGATAACAGTGGAGTGCAATTTGTGGGCGCTTAATATTAAAAAGGACACGCAGGCGGTATTAGATTTTCAAATAATTCTGGGTAGAGTTTAAAATGTGATAAGTTAATAAATAAGAGAGTTAATAAACAATGTTTTTGCATACATTGTTTCTTAGTCTTGATATATCAAATTAAAAAAAAAAAATTAGTATTAAATATTTATTTAAAAAGTTACAAATACAAATTTTTTTTGCCACACCAATGTGACTCCTTTATTATACATCCATATTACATCAAGTATATTTTTCATACATTGTGCAATGTATTAATTGCATAGAACATCTCTGAGATATATATTATAAAAAAATGGAAGATGCAACAATGTGTATTTTTGAATTAAATCAACACGAGATGAGCAGTGTATTCAGATTCCAACAAAAATATAACGTTCTGTATTTTCATTTTGTATCAAGAGGCTGATGTACGCTCTAGATTCGGTCGGCAATATTGCAGATCAAAATTGGAGAACTTTGTACAGATTTATTAATATTAATACTTTTATATAAATAAAGAGAAATGACACGATGAAGCTTCGCTTTTGTCGAGAGATATACCATTCATACAGTCGCATTTTCTGGAATTAACAATACTGTCTAGAATAAGGAAAACAATTGATAAGAGAGAGAAAGAGAGAGACAGACAGACAGAGAAAGGGAGAAAAAGGAAAGAGAGATAAAGATACAAGAAAAAGATAGAAAATGAGGAGAGATAGAGAAAAAGAAACAAAGATTGAGTGAAAATAGAGAGAAAATAATAGAAAGAGAGAGAGAGAAAAAGAGAGAGAGAGACAGAGAAAAAGACAGAATGAATGAAAGAACAATATAAAAGAGAATGAAAAGACAAGAAGAAGAAGAAGAAACTTAAAGACCAAACAAAGAGGAAAATACTATCTTCGATCCATTCAAATCGAATAATTCGGCTGGTGCTTTGTTTTTGTTATACTTTTGTCATTAATCAGTAATTAAACAGGAAACAAGTATAAAGTATTTGATCTTTTTTTGAAAGGCAACATTGTGCGACTCTGACGTTAACACGCGAGGCTTCGCAATCGAGAAAAATGAATTTTCTTCTTTGGTATTTAACTCCAGGTGATTTTATCCTTCCTCTTCTTCTTCGGCCGTGCCGGTCAGCATGGCAATTAAGCTCGCAGTGTCGATGAAACCTTTGTCGTCGATGTACATCTGATCAAACGCGTCATCCACTTCTTTGGGTGTAAATCTGTCGCCCCATGACAGTAAAGCATGCCTCAATCTATATAATAAATACAAATCATAAGTAACATATTGCACATGTCTATTTTTATCGCGCAATTTTATTTCAACTTGTAGATTTTGTCGCTATACCTTTCACCGTCGATTTTGCCGTCTTCATCAAATGTCTTGAAAGCATTGATCACAACATCGTCGTCGTCAGCACCTGTGATAAAACGATATATTCAACGTACAAAATCAAACTATACGTACAATTTATAATCGGATGAATTCTTCATACCTGATCCCGACATACGAACAGCGAACAAATTCAACAATTGAGTAAAGTTGATGGGTGCCGAAGCCTCGTTGAGCATTTCGTCGATTTCTTTATCGGTCGCAAGTCGGCCGACAGAGTCGAAGGCCGCGCGAAGATCATTTTTACCGATGATACCGTCTTTATCTGCGTCCATTAGTTGGAATGCCTACGAACACACAAGGAAATATTCGTTTCTTTACTTCATTATTTAGCGAAAAAAATAGCACAATGTTTATAAATATTTATACGCAGAGAGAGAGAGAGAGAAAGCGTTTTGGAACATTGTCGTACCTCCTTGAACTCAGCCACCTGTTTCTGAGAGAACATAGAGAAGACACTGGACCCGCTTCGCTTAGCCTTGCGGCTGCCACGACTACTTGCTCTAGTGGAACCAGAATCCTTTGGTGTACTTGTAGGAGTTGGTGCTTTCTCTTCTGGCGCTGGCTCGGGCTCAGGCGCCGGAGCTGCTTCCTCCTTCTTCTTGGTCTTCTTCTTCTTTTCCTTATCCGCCTAATATGTAAGTACGCAAAACAAATTTATATATAATTTATATATTTATATATTTAAAAAAAATATGCATAATTATATATAGAAAACTAAAATATCTTTATAATACAACATTATTCTGTGATATATTTTTACGATATTTCTGCAATTTTTTCACATTAAGCGATGAGTATCTCTTTTTGCGCGAAAAAGTGCTATATTAAAATATAAAAGTGCTATATTAAATTAAAATATAAAAATGTAAAAACATAAAGATCATTGTTTTTGTTTATTAATAAATGCCAATTAATTAAAAAAAATTAAAACAAAAACCAAGGAAAAATAGAATCATCCCATAATTGAGTAAGAAAATCGGTGAGGCGGTAGTCGCTTGATGCTAAAAATAGAGTAATTCCGTGAGTCGCGAGAGAAAAGATGCCAGGGCATATATAGAACAACTTAGATAGGTACCGCACTACTTCTCGAATTACCATTGTTACATAATTATTCATCATTACAATTAAAAAAATTACACGCACGCGTAATGTAAAAATTTAAGGCAAAGTTTAAATTTCTTGACGTTACTTAAAAATATGAAATGAAGTAATATCATTTCATAAAGTGAGATATACATAACGGGACCTACATGATGAAAATTTTGAGAGTAATTCACGATTTAAAAAAATCTGAAGATCACTGCCGCACTTTATTGTCACAAATTCGCGATAGTAACATAATCATCACTTGCTCGTCTCACTTAGAACACTGTACGTAATTTATCTTCGTGAAATGCACCATATCATATTTCTCTTTTTTTCTCGTCGTTTAGAAATTGTTTTTTTCCAATATTCTTCTCCTGTACATCCTCGCACGATTCTTTAGGAACAGAGGATCAATATCGATAAAGATTTTTCTCCTCAACGCCTTTACTTACCATATTTACGGTTGATTACGACGAGGTGGACGATGATACGAGATGGTCACGGCGCACCAACTGTCCGAATCATAGAGCCGAACTTGTTAAGTAACTTTTGCAGATCTCTCCCACCAACAGGCCACGGTTGTCCGAGCAGGGGTGCTACCCTACCCCGGACACAACCGCCTATCTGACCATATTTAGTGCGAGTCGCCTCAAAATAGCGACCCTTTCGACGTTTCGACTAAAACAGTTTGCTGAAGAGTATAGAACTTCTTCGACGGCTCGACGGTGCGCTGCACTGTTGAGACGATCTTCATCCTCAATGTAGAAATATGTCAATCTTTTTGATCGAGATCATAGGTCAATTGTAAAAGATCTAGTCTACTGCTTCAAAGAGATTATATATTTTTTTTAATGAGTTATTATTTAGAACAGTCTATTTCTCGTGCAATTGGACAATTGTGAAATGAAAAATTGTTGAATTGTGTTCCTTTCTCGCTGTGCTTTACAATTAAATCATTTATTGCAAGACGATATCATGGACACCGTCGATCATATAAAATATCATTTTGTTTTTTTGTTTTTCAATGCTCTTTTCTTAGTTCTCTTTAAAAAAATGTGTTCCGATACTCAACTTCTATAATATACACTTTATATGTTTAATTCTATATATGTGATTTAAATAATGTACAAACAGTATCACTCAAAATTATGTCACCTCTTGCATTTGCAGCATACTTCAAGCACGTGGTGACCAAAAATAGTTTTTCGACACACATACATACACAAACGCGAGCTCATTTATGGAACGCCACATGTTCCCACATATCGCGCGCTCTTAACAATAAGCTTATAAAAAAACTGTCTAAACTAGATTTCTTATTACATTATCACATTCATTATTATTGAAGAGAGTATTACAAATACTTCCGGTGAAAACAAAATGGAGGAGCTACTATAGAGGGAAAAGCCTGCAAAAAAATATTGATTAGAAAGACCAATTAATTTTGTCTATCTGTATTACTTACGTGAATGAAGCGAACCTACCTTTGTCATTTGGATCGCGCACACCACACTGTCGATGCCCCAATGTACTTTTTCGTTTTGTGGGTATATATCCTGGAATGTATAAACTCGGAGCTTCGAGTTTGCCAATTGATATAAGTCTGCTAAAGTCTTGCTCCAATTTGCTGGCAATCGGACCTGAATAAATGTCACGATATAAATAAATAAATACGTATACTATTTAAGTATAGTATCAGATATTACCTTTAAAATGCATTAGAAATTGAATACACGCGCCGTTGTGCAATATCTTTGTCTGTCTATTGTCAATAGACAGCATCCACTCGGGAATTCCCATTACTTTTCTCACATCCTCCAAAAATTGCGCTCTGCAAAATCAATTAATTAAATAAACCCCATTAAATGAAGATGACTCAAACCAAGAGTCGAAACGTTTGGCATTTTTAAATAAAGATTATCATTTATACATCAACACCTAGTATTTCACTCCGTATCGGCCCTTTCTACATATATTATTTAACAATTTCACGGAGTATAAACCAAACAATTATATTGTTAAATAAACCCCGTTTGTTCGTAAAATCTCACTGTTTGTATAAAATAACTTACACCACAAATCGCGGTGGTTTCCTAATGTTCGCGTATTTCACGATGTTGTTGTCAGGTTCGATGTTCGCGCACGAAAATCTGTTGCTGCCAAAGTCCTTATCGAAAATAACAATAGACCTGCCTAGCGCGGATATCTTTCCACCCAGAGGAAAATTCGGGTCTGTGAACACTTGTCGTTTTTCTCCCACGTTAATCGGTCCTAAACGAGACGATATGTCACCGACGTAACATCTGAGCGGCAGATCCGGACCACATTCCTCTCGGTAAAGATCATCCTGAAAAACAATGAAATAGATTGAAAAATATGAGAAATCTATCTAGTATCGTAAAAATCGAGACTTTTCAATACACATCAGATTATTGGACGTATTTACATTCAACGGATCGGCTAGTTGAGTAAAATAGGGATTCCAAACGTATCCACCCGCCACGCACCGGGTATTCTTCACCTTCACCGCGGCGTCCACACCCACAGGATTTACGTATATTGCCCAGTTGTGATTTCTGGTCTAAAACCATTAAGCACGATAGATATATTAAAGATCAAACAAATCAATTTGAACGTGAGAATGGTCGAATTTAATTTTCTTACAATATTGCGATCGTGTTTCCCGGGATGTCGCAGGTTCACTTCGATTATCGTCTCACTCTGACTACCGTCTTTATAGACGAGCTGTGTCTGCAAAGATTAATTGTTTCTAAATAATATTTAGTTATATGTATTTAATAATATGTATTTTTTTTTTATACAAAAGATGTCTATATTACCATTTTTATGTAACCGTACACGAAGCCTTGTGGATGATGAAACGACGCGATGGCCCGTAATTCACTGGCTTCGGTCGGAGAGTATCCTCTCTCGATAGTCGAGCACGCCCATCTAAATACAGAGACGAGAAATTCATTCCTACTGAAGAAAGATAAAATCAAAATACGTGTATTTTAATCAATCGGATACCTTGTATTCTTTTGTTTCGCGTTAATTACTATACTGCGTCCCAGCACACTTCTCGGACCGAACAGCGGTAGCATCGTGTCATTGTACGTTGCCATATGTCGTTTTTTGTTGTCCAAAGAACCGAATTTCCCGCTTAAATCGCCCATCTCATATTGATCGAGCGTACCCTCTTCCATCGGAACGTCTGTCTTATTGACGTACAGTGGATTCCAATGTCCATAAAGCGATGTTTCTTCGCACGGAAACTCCAAGTCGTATTCTACAGGAGTCTGCAATTCCAAAGTAACAATGCATCTCGAAATTTACGATGTTTCCTATGTTAAAACTTAATTTTTTTTTTGTGTGGAAATCCCGAAAAACAAAACTATTCACGTAATTTACCATGTGTATGTGATATTCGCTCATCTTTCCGCCGATACCTTCAAGAGAGACATCCACACTAGTGATATCGTATTCGCTCTGTTGCAAGAATTCCAATTTTCCTCTTAGTGATATTTGTTCTCCATTGCCGAACCAATCTTTGGCGACCGCTTTACGCCGATAAACTCCGCTGATACTGTAACAGAGAGATTATACTAGTACTAGCTACTTTTTTGTTTAATAAAGTAATTTATATTCTGCGCATGTTTCTTACGTGGAACAAGCCAGCCGATCTCCTCTAGCAACTGGACCGTGATCATCATAAATAACTAAACTTTTGCCGAACAACGTGTGATGTCCCGACAACGGTAACATCGTGTCCGTAAAAAGTTTTCGAGTTAGTTCCGAAGCGTTAACTTTTTTGCCGACGATTTCGAGCGTTCCATGTCGCGTCAAGTCGCCCAAACGACACAGCGACGTTTCCGAGACGAGACAAGAGCTACTTGGACTCCATTCCACCTGAAAATATAACGTACTTTTTTCGAACCTTTATCACCAAGAATATTTTAAAGAATAAAGATAATTTGTAGTTACGATACTTTGTACGGATTGTAAGGTGATCCGGCACTTAAGCATCGAGCTGTCCAATTGTAAAAGTCTTTACCCACTGGATTGTCATGCACCATCCATCTAAATGTCACACATACATTTAGGTCGACCGTATTTTATAATATACAGTAAAAAAAAATGTCTTTTTGTGCCCTATTTAAAGATTTACCTATGACCAGCAGTGTTATTTATTATATTGCCGTCTGCGTGAACAAGATGTTCGATTATTATGGTAGTGTCTGTTTCGGGATCATCCTTCGGCTGTCGGAAAAGTATGTGGCCGACTATAGGATACCTGAACACTACTTCTGCCGTTTGCATGGGCATTTGCCAGTCGGTATGGGGCACATAAAGCGTGAACGTGCCACAAACCCATGGAATCACGCTTTTGTTGTCAGTCTCATTGTATCTAAACACAAAATGTTATTTGTATATCATTAAAATACAATACATGTGAGAAAGACTTTCGTGCGATCTCAAAATTGTACGCGCAACAATATCAACGTAAGTAACAATTACTTATAAACAACCAAAGACCGATGAACAATACTGTGAACTCCGGAAAGCGGTAGATACACGTCCCAGTATGTGCCACTGAGCTTTGCGCTACCGGGTAAAATATCAGTATGATAAGATCCTTCTTTTCGACCTTGGAGTTTACCGGACAGATCGCCAATAGCATATTGATCCTGAGTGCCTAAACCTATTTAATTAGAAAATTACAAAATAGAATATTATTGATTTATTGATTTAACTTATTACTTTACTCTTTACTCAATTATTTTTTCGATTATTTCTTGTCTTTCTCTTTAATGATAATTACCTGGTGGTGGTATAGTCTTCTCGTCGATATTCAAAGGGTTGAACAGGCGTTTTGTAGTTAAACACGGATCGACAGTAATTCCCACGCTCTTTGTCGATTCCGGAGGTAATTCGTGAATTCTGTATGACGCCACTTTGGTGGCGTATCGCAATCTGGCTTCCAAATCGTTTATAGTTGTCAGAGAGACGTTAACCCATGTAGGATCGAACGGCGTTTCCTGAATTGCCGTAACTTTTCCTTTGATTCCGTTCGAATTGATTACCGCCCTAAATATATATATTTTTTTTTTCAAGAGCTTCGAATTAAAAAACATCTACGTGCGAAGAGATTTTGTGTGTGTGTGTGAAGTTCAATTTTTTTGAACAAGATGATTGCGTTTCTTCTGACGCATATGCAGATTGAAATATGATTCTTACTTGGTGTGTATTGGTTTGCGATGATTAATTTTGGCGCAAGCCAAAAACGAGTCCTGATGTATCGGATGAAAGATGACCAGATACAAATGACGATGCGGACTGAGCAAATCTGCCGACAGCAGAGACAGTTCCGGATCTCTATAGAAAGTTTTGTAATTTTCTTTTGTAGTTACGGCAACCTTGACTTTGCCCAAACGCACATCGATATCCCCGATGGATTCTCCGACGCCGGAATCGTTCGGATCGAATACACTTTGAAGTATATTACAGTTGTCTAAATTATGCAAACATTTTTCAATTAGAGAACCTCTGTCTTATCGTGGGAATAAATTAATTTTGCTTCTGAAAGTTTACAAATTACCACACCTTTGCCGCTTTCGAAGATATCTGTGACGTAAATCTTCCAATGATGTTCCGTGTAATTTAGCGCCAACTGTGTGTTCGGTTTGGAAGAATAATGCAAATTCGTATGAATGATCGTATCGGTGGACTTATCGTCTATCTGAACGCCTAACCATCGAAACAGCACCGTTCCAGCTACGGGACTGTAAAACCGGGCCTGAGCGAGTTTCTCAATGTTTTTCTCGAGAACCTGAAGAAGAAAAATCACGAAATACACGTATAAAGATGACAATTTTCCAATCACAGAGAAATAGTCAAAAATTTGTATAAATGATTATCTATTTTTTTTACAGCTTTTTATAAATTGGCAAATTACCGTGATAGAAGCGCATATTGTTCGCGACGAATAAGTATCTTTTAACAGCAAACCTTTTCCCCACAAACCCATTTCTCCGGTTAAAGATAAATCCGCGACTTCTATCGAACCCGTTTGATTTGTTGGCAACTCAAGGGGCCCGACTTTTTCCGTCAAATCGATTATGCTACGTATGAAAAACAAATATATTGATTCTTTTATCATATATAAATGTTTACTACTTTCACATTTCTTTGTTATATAAATTGATTTATAATTCTACCTTTCTCCGACGTGCCGTTTGTCGCATCTGTCATCGATTATCGTGTAATCGACGGGAAACTGAGTAACCGACCACAACCATTGCTGATCCGGATACTGCAACGTCGGTTTTAGAGAATATCGTATTCGCACTGAAGATTCGCCAGTTCTTTCGAATCTAATTTCTCCATGGAGACCACCGGAAGAAATGTATGCGGCGAGTCTAAACGAGCTCGCGACAGATACTGAAGAAATATGTGCTGCTTATTGTAAAATCTAATGTGTTCAAATGTTTTTCAAAACAATTACTTCGAAAGTACATGCAATGATTGGACTGTTTTTTTTTTTTTTTTTTAAATAATTTTACAATGATTTAAAAATATAGAGAAAATCTTTTAACAATGATTTAAAAACTATGAGGAGAAAAAATCTTGTGATGAGAAATATGTTTACTGTTTTGTTTTGTTTTTTTTTTTTTTACAGATACCAGATGCCGCGTTTCGTAAAATAGTCAAAATCACATCTTGTAACTCACCGCAGCAAAGCAACAGAAGCCCCACCGCATAGTCGTAGTTGAACATCGGAGACTATAGTTTTTTTTTATTCTCAATCGCGCTGACATCAATGCAAATGGAAATTTCTTGATACGCGTCTTATATATAATTTTATAAGAGAAAATTGCGGAGCTGAACAACGATCCGCCAGAGAATGACTCAAATAACGGGCTCTGTACTTTCTTGCATCTCGTCAGATGGTGGGAGTGGAAGAGAAAACGAGATGACCTCGGTAAAAATGAAAGTACGTAACATACGGGAGAGAGAGCTATAGCGTAAGGTCCAAAAACTTAAATGCTCGAGTTTATTAAAATTTCAGCAACACAATAAGTTTTTTGCAATACAAAGTTTTTTTTGTTTTTTCATCTCTTATTGTCATACTTCACCTGTCAAAACAACGTGTCAAAAACAACACGTGTCGCGGATGACACCGCGTTTATTAAAAAAAAACGCGCCAAACTATTAAAGGCTCGTTTTTAAAAAAGTTACCAGAACTCACCCGGTCCAATCGGTATCGATCCGAATTCGTCGATTTGTCGCGATCGTCGAATCAATTATAAAAGAAACTCGCAGAGACGTCCCACGTGACTCGCGATTGGTGCGTGCGTCCGAAAAAGCGCGCGTGCGCGAGACGCTCGTGAATTTTCCTCGTCGCGGCGTGTCGCAGCATGTGACCGCACCCTAACGAGCAATAAAGATAGAGAATGAACGCTTGTTACAACGCGAAAGCGAGATATAAACCAGATAATAAAAGCGAGCGAAGACACGAGTGTTGAAACAAATAGTTTTCTCGAATTTTTGGTGGTGCGCAAAACAGCCGATCAACAAAATTTGACATCTTGCAAACGTATTATGACATTGATATTTTAATCGGTTTTACCGAAAAAAAGTAAATTTATTACGCGCGAGCGCACGTGAATTTATTTCCTGGCGAATAACATGGGAAATCGTTGCGACCGGGACGTTTCGCGTGAAGCTCGTCACGATTCGCCTCGCGCGAACTTCGTCACAAGTCGTCAAGTCTGTGCGAGACACGACCGTGTCTCTTGATGCGATGTCTCGCAAAACGATAGTAGTAATCGTGACGTTCGGATCTCTGTTGCTTCTCGGAAAAAGACAACACAGACGAATTAAGTACGTATTAACAATTGGTGGTCGAGAGAACAAACTTGATATTTCTCTCGCGTAAGTATCTTGGTTTGGTAACAAAGTTTGTTAATTGCAATGTGCAAATTTTTACCGTAACAAGCGACACGTGAGAAATATGTAAAAATATCACATTTTTCTCATTTACTCTTCAACCAAGAGAATTCTTTTTTTAAAGATGTCACGTTTCGTGTACAAAATTTATGAGCAAATCGCACCGATAGAATTTAGGTTATACAGAAGTGGTTTACCCAAAATATTGCCATAAAACTCTTTTACCGCGTTGTACAGGAGTTCGATGTGATTTGAGTAGTTTGATAAATTTCTTTGTTTCCATCCTTTCTCTAACTAATAAATAAAAAAAATGTGTTGTTATATTTTGTAGATTTTATACATTTGTTTTCTCTGTCGCAGAGACTACCAGCCGAAAAATAATGTAACTAGACGAAGCGTGTTGCGTGACCAACCTTGCGAGGGATATCGTCGAGAGGTGACGCCACCGGCGCCGGGCGAAGCTGGCAAGATGGTAGAAAAAGAGCATACTAATTTCTTGTGTAAAATCGAGCGAACAAACGATGTGATTTGATTATCGCTCCGTTACTCACTAATCTTCGAGGAGCTTGCGTTAGGTCAGGAAAACACTTTGCGAATCAGAATTTAAGATAGTTTCGAAGACCTAAGCTGCAATCCAGCTTCAGCAACAGTGTGCTTCACACTTGAAGCTGGTGCATAAGGTAAGTGTTTGTTATTGCTAGTTGCATTTCGTGCGCATTGCACGCGTGTTTGTGAGCGCGACTGTACGTGAATTTAAATTCTAGGAAAAATACTTTCTGTGTGTGCACGCACAAGAGACTCGTATATATATTGTATTGATCTATTTCATCTTTAGAAACTGTATCTCATTATTCAGTTCAGTTGTTACTTGAGAGAACATTTGCAGAACATTATGCAGCCATGATTAAAGACAATGCAGCTCACTCTTTGTATTTGAATATTATTGAAATATACATGAAATACACATGGTTTATATGTATCACAAAACTCATTTTAATGATTTATACCACTGACTTTTATCAATGTTCCATAGTGTTAGCTATCTAATATAAATGTGATTACATAAATAGATAATATATCAAGACTGATGTAAGATAGATACAGGTGTGCACGTTTATATCATTATTTTCTTTCATTATTTGATACTTTGTATTGAAGATTATGGCCAAAATGGCATCACCAGAGAGCAATAGAGAATCTGGGAAATCTGATCTCCAAAAACCAGATGCTCAACAGTTGGATGGAACAACCTCTTCTAATGATTCGATTAACCAAGAAAAAAATGAAGTAGACAGTGTTGTTAACGCGGAAGAAAAGAAGAATTCAACATCGGATAAAGTTAATGAATGTGCAAATATACAGGAAAAGAATACTGACAATGCGGAAACTGTACAGAACGAACTGAACGACGTAAAGACAGAGAAAGATGAAAATGTGCGTGTATCGCAAATGCAAGAAATCAAGACTGACAAAGAAGATATTGCAGTGAAAGAAGAATCTGCATTGAAACGAAAGAGAAAACCCTTAAGGTTATTAATGATTTTAATAGAGAAGAAATTTGTGTATCTTGTGTAAAAACAAGAAAATGCGCAAAAAAAAAAACGTGTATTAATATTTGCAGCGTTCCGGCTGACGAATGTCCTGCGACCGAGGAGAGTGAAACTAGACCTAAGAGAAAAAAACGAAACGGCACTGAATACGACGAATTTTGTTGGCGATGTCACAAGGAGGGCGTCGATGTTTACTGCACCGCCTGTCCTCGCTCGTGGCATCGTAAGTGTATTGGCGGTATGCCGCCATCGTTGGACAAGTGGATATGCGGAGAATGCGCGGCCATCTTGAAAGCCGAAAACGCCGAGACATGTTCCTCAGCTATGGCGCTGGTGTCCCTAGATCAATTGTGTATGTTGCTCAAATTCGTAGTCGAAAAATTACGGGATTATCCTGGGGTACGTAGAACTTCATTTTTCTTTTTGATTTTTTTCATGCACACTAAACAGTTGTACGTGTGGTGTTTGCTTGTGTATGATATTTTTAACGTATTTCGAATAAAATTTTATTTATTTTTGATGCGTATATAGGCCGAACCGTTTTGCAAACCTGTAGATCTCACGGAAGTGCCGAATTACTTGGATTACGTTGTCAAGCCGATGGATTTGAGTATTTTAGAATCAAATGTACAAGCTAAGCTTTACGGCAGTACCGATGCGTTTATGGCTGACGCGAAATGGATTCAACACAACTGCATTGTGTTCAATACGTGTACGTAAACTCATCCGTGTACATAAACTCGTTGTATTTTTACGTTACGTGTAAATCACAAATCGCACGCTTAAAAATATGCTCTATAATTTATAGGTGGTGGTGTTTACACAGACACATCGAAGCTGACAAACGCGGCGAAACATCTTGTTAAGGTGGCGCGTCAAGAGGTTTCGGAAATCGAAGCATGTCCCGATTGCTACGCTAGCGCTCGCAATTTACCGAGGCGCAATCTTCATTGGTTTATCGAGCCGTGTCGCAAACCGCATCCTCTCGTATGGGCCAAATTGAAGGGTTTCCCGTTTTGGCCAGCAAAAGCAATGCCTCGAGTCAACCCTCAAGGATACGTAGATGTGCGATTTTTCGGCGAGCACGATCGCGCATGGGTGTCGCAAAAAGATCTCTATTTGTACTCAGAGGAACCGCCCGCGCCGTCCTCTCGTAAACGAAAACCCGACATGGACGAGTGCATGCGCGAGATTACTAAGCACTGCAGAAAGCTTGCGCTTATGTTCGGTCAGTTCAAGTTCGCGCCGCCTAAGGTGCAATACGATCCGAACGATCCGATGCAGATAAAACTGCTGTTGCCGAATTACAATCCCCTCGAACCTTACAGTCAGTTTTCCAATACGAAATCGTCCACTTCGAAAAAGAAGACTTCTCCGAAAAAAAAAGGAAATGATTCTGTCAAGGATCAATCACAGAGTGATGAGACCACCGCCAAAGAGGAAATTGACTCTAAATCGAAAGAGAATACCGATGATATTAAAAAGGAGACTGAAACACCCGAAGTACAAAACTTAGACGCTGACGATATTAAGAATTCCTCAAAGATTAATCAGAATCAGACGCCTAACAAATTAAGTAAGAAAGAAAATGAAGAAGTTGTAATGAAAGAGAACCCGGAAGTTGCAACGATTGTTCAAAACGAAGTTACGAAGAATGAAAAATCTAAAAGTGCAAAGGCGTCTCAACCGATTATCACAAATAACGCCATCATTGGAAATAGTAGCGTGAATTCGAGTGCTAATGAGCCGGAAAAAGCGAAAGACGAAACAAAACCGTCGTCTAAGCTCGCATCACTGCCATCCAACGAATCGTCCGACGTAATAGTGCGAACGCAGAAGAAAACTCTGTTGAAGGATATCATTAATCCCAAACCAGCGCTTTCCCAGATAGAAAACGCGGCAAGGATAATTACGAAACACGCGAAGAACAATAATAATAAGATATACAAACCGAAAACGAGACTGGTCGACAAACTGAACGCGGAAAAAGCACTGAAATCTACATCTGCGAGTAAGGAGAACGAGAAACAGATGTCATCGAATTCAAGTGGTACGAGCAACATGCCGTTAAATCACAATGGGGAATTGTCAAGCGGTCAGAAAATATCCGAAATGGATATAACGTCGTCAACCTCATCACCGTCAAACACGAAAGTTACTCAAGCCATTATGACAACGCGTCCGCTCATTCCTGTGACGGATAAACCTATGATGCTACTTGTAGTGAACAAAGGGAAGCCCGGGGCTGTAAACCAAGCTACGAACACAATCGATCCTCAAAGCAACAAAGATGCAGTAACCGTGAATACGAAAGAAGTGCGTAAAAAGCCGCTCCAAGCGAAGGAGAGCAAAGCTAGAAAAACTTTTCCTAACAGACCACGCAATCCGCCTATTAGTGTCCAAAGCCCGCCGTCGGACAAGTCGTCGAAACGAGAAACGTCCTCCACGTATCGACTAACACCACCGGAAGCAGGACCGATCAGCGCGCGTTTGCATCATAACGCGAACGAACTCGCGCGAAGAATGGGTCAGTTGATGGAAGAGGCGTACAAGGAGGCCGCTGAGATCAACAGCGAGAACGGCGACACCGACGATCATCAGGCAACCGTGTTCTTCCTGCGAATGCAGATCGAACATTTGAAGTGGCAACATCAACAACAGCTGGCCGAAATAAAACATAACACTGGTACTTTTTTAGTGGTTTCTTTGTGACGAAAGTTTCTCTATATTTGTATAACTTCAATAAACTCATTTATTAAATTTCCAGATCGTACTCTGCGCGAGATGCGAGCGAGCATGGAAGCGGAAAAAGTACGATTGGTCGAGGAAACTCGGAGAGAGGGCGAGGAGGAGAAACTTCGATGTATCGAGGAGATAAAGAAGAAGCAGTGGTGCGCTTACTGCGGACAGGAAGCAATGTTTTATTGCTGCTGGAACACGGCCTACTGCGATTACCCGTGCCAACAGTCACACTGGCCGACGCACATGCAAACGTGTTCACAACAGTCCGCGCCCTCGCAGCAGGTGATGCCCAGACTTTTAATTCCGCATCACACAACGTCAAATGTACGGAAAGCCTAGAATGGATTGGTGTAAGTCCCCGGCAGAGGTTTTAATTTTAAAAACTTACTGTAAAAACAATATTAAGTTAATTATAAATTGGTCTGATTATTAAGTTAATTATAAATTGGTCTGATTTTAGAAACAAATCGAAGGCCAAACAGGCCGCGTATAAATTTCGTTCTACGTTAAAAGTCTTTTTAGTTCTTTCATAGTTTAAGGAATTCAGATATACGGTCTAGAAAAACGGTCTATAATTAATATTAGCAACTTGGATACATGTTGCATAATCCAACAAAAAATTATATCAAGAAAATAGTATCGTCAATGCGCTTGTTAGTCTAGTCCCGATATTCTTGTCAATAATTCGTATCTTTAGTTTCTTATTGAAGTCTGTTCATGATTGACTTACACGATTCATCCTCTAGACGCTTTGAAAAGCTATAAAATTTTGCTCTCGCAATTTAAAGCGCGTTCCTGTCTCAATAATACTGCAATATTCCTGTTTTTCAGAGCAATAATATGACACATGATTCTGTGAGCAGGATATACGCTCTGCCGTCTAGTAAATTGAGTGGGATTCCGCCATCGTAATTTCATTCATCTCTTAAAGATATAAAGTCAATCAAGAGATTCACTCTAACATAAAAATACAAATATTACTCATAATTTATTTAATATTAATCTACTCGATATTGTGCAATATCGATAGACACTAAGATAAGTTCCAGTAACAATTATAAATTTAGTAGTACTTGCGAACACGTTTTGGTACAGTGTTGCATACACAGTGTATGTAAACATTTAGATCTTTATCAAACATTTATTTCTTTCACGATCCGAAATCACGGAGAGAGGTTGTATATGACTTATTTCATACAAAAAAAAAAAAAAAACTATGTTCAGTGTTATGTAAATAATTGTAATAGCAAGTAATATATGCAGTTTTTGTTGATATTCTTGATTTGTTAAAGTAAAAAAAATTTAAGGAAGATCAGCGCATTTTATAATAAAAGTAATAAAATTAATTTAATTGGTTGTTCCTGCTTATGTAAATAAGAGAAGATGTGAATTATGATTATAGTTTAGAGTTTAGTATAGGCCTATTCTGTAACTTGAAAAAAAAAAAAAAAAAAAAAAAAAAAAAACGCGGTACAGCCATAACTCGTGCGTTACGAATCTTTACGTATGAACATAAAACAGATACGTTAACAACGAAAATATCACAAAGTTACAGAATGAGGAACCTGGAATATAGCAGTAGGAATTATCTCTAATCGTAAAATGAATTCCAACAACATAATTTATGCGATTATATAAATTTATATGTATATATATACATATACATTTATGTATATTTATATATGTATACATATATATATATGTAACTAAAATCAGTATACTTATCTCTTATATATTGTAATTAACGCAGGTAAAATAATGACAACTTTGTTAATTTTCTCCGACCCTCTGTTTTTCTACCATCCACTTCAGACTTAAAAGAGAAGAAAAACGTATTTTTTCAATACAAACTATATCATAAGTATACATATTTTGACATAAAAAAAAGCAATTGATGTTCTCAATGTAAAGTATGTAATAAGTAATTATTATACATTAAAAAAAAGGGAGATTTTTGTTGAGCAATAGACTATAACGCGCGTAAAATTAAATAGAAATAATTTGATAAACTCAATACTTGTAATAAAATATTGCTCACACACATTACACGTTTATTAATAAACTTTTGTAAAAAAAAAAGAAAAATTTATTTAAATTTTTTTTTCCTTATTGTATTTATATTTAACTTCTAATATTCAAATAAACTAAAAACACAAAGTATTGCCCAACATGACATTTCTGTCTATAAATGGCAGTGTTTTTGTAAAAAGAAATGAGGTCAATAAAAATCAGAAAGTTGATAAAAATTATCTTATATCGGTGGGATTTAAAATGATGCGCACAATTTATTTTCAAAATTTCGCGCTCCTGATGTATAGCACTTATTTTGCACAATATGGCGAACGGAAGTGGACGTCATTCAGTGCCAACTGCTAGCCAACGGAGCTCTTGTTGTCGGACTGTTCTTTCTATGGGAGAAAAAGTGCCTTTCTCCGTTCCCACAACTTCCACACGTTTTTTTCACAGTGGGTACGTCAAACATACGCCGATACGCCGAGCTAACGTGTCCGGGATCGTTGGTTTTCGACGCGACACACGCGGGTTCCCCGTCGATCAGTTTGCTTCTCAGGACAACAGTTGTTCGTATGTATATAGTGATTCGCGAAATTTAACAAAAAACACGACAATTATTCAGTGTCATTGGATGAGACACGCACGGTGAGTTGTTCTTCTCGTAAGTCGGTTCTGAATCGCTTGGCAAAAGTGAACACGAAAAATCGCAACGAAAATCCCACGTACATACTATAATTCCGTTTCGCCTGCACTCTTCTACACCCCCGTACATGTCAAATTAATTGAGCGCATTGAGCGGGTCCTTGCGAAGGACGGTGGAAAGTATGAAAAGGTTCAGCTGACGAAAGTGCACCGCGGAAACAAACGCACGCACTGTGTCGCGTCGACGACGATAACCTGGCTCCTCGCGTTCCCGTTGCACTTTGTGCACCGAGCGCGAGACCGAGAGCTCTCGTCGTGCGAGATTTAAAAAATCGGCTGGGTAATCGCGTGTGTACGAGTCGCAGTCGGTCGGTCGGTCACGTTGGCAGACGGTGATCAACGGTGGTGATCTTGTTAATGCGTCTTGCTATTGTTGCAGAGTCATTCGTTAGTTAACACATACACTTGCAAGCACACATTAGAGGACGTGTAAAAGACTCACAAACACTACAAATATGTTTATTTGGGACTGGTTTGCTGGAGTGCTCAACTATCTGGGTGAGTTGAAAATGTTTCTTGTCTTTAATTGGTCTGGAATCAAAATAAATTACTTGTTTACATCATTGTGTGTTTTATTTATGTGTTGCAAAGCTAATTAAAATTTCTAAGCTGTATTTTTTTAGTCAAATTTTTTTACCAGTTCAATGAGATCTTAATTCCAACAATTTTTTTCTGTCCTCTTTGCAGGATTATGGAAGAAGAGTGGCAAACTTTTATTCCTAGGTTTGGATAATGCGGGCAAAACTACATTGCTTCATATGCTCAAGGATGATCGTTTAGCCCAACATGTGCCCACATTGCACCCAAGTAACTAAATTTAGAATGATTTATCTCTTTCTATGTGTTATTTCTATTCTATTCTATTTATACTATGTTTAACTATTCTCAAGACCACAGATTTTTACAGATGGGCAATATTTTATTAACTGATCAATTCTCTCTGTAAACAATATTTTTTTAATTTAAAATAAATAAAAATTGATATTTGAACAATTTGTATTGCTTTAGCTCACATTAATGTTTGTTTGTAGCATCCGAAGAATTATCTATTGGAAATATGAGATTCACAACTTTTGATCTTGGTGGTCATACTCAAGGTAAAAAAAATTATAATAAAATGCACATCATATTAATAACATTTATTGTTTTATAACCGAGCAATTGTTCATTCATACGGACTAAATTGTTTTAGCACGTCGTGTTTGGAAGGATTATTTCCCAGCAGTAGATGCAATAGTGTTTCTTGTCGACGCAAGCGATAAAACAAGATTACCAGAATCAAAAGCTGAGCTGGATGCGTTATTGACTGATGAACAACTCAGTGCGTGTCCAGTTCTTGTACTGGGCAATAAAATTGACAAACCATCTGCAGCTTCTGAGGACGAACTCAGAAATTTCTTTAACTTGTATGGACAAACAACAGGAAAGGTACGGTCATAACTAGAACGATGGCCTCTATTTTAGAGATGTGTTATTAGAGAGAGTCACTGTAGTGTTTTTTAAATTTTATAGAACTTTTTTTTTATCAATGCAAAAACTTACTTTCAGGGTAAAGTTGCTCGTAGCGAGATACCCGGCCGTCCACTGGAACTATTCATGTGTTCAGTTTTGAAGCGACAAGGATACGGAGAGGGCTTTCGTTGGCTTGCACAGTACATTGATTGAAGTGTACATTATCACATAATTCGACCGAAAGATTCCAACAGTTTCATACATTTCCTTTTTCTTTGGTAATGGTGTCACTATCGGAACTGTAATATTCTTTACACGTGTCGAAAATTTAGAAGGAAAAATGCCATTTCATCGATCATCAAAACAAAAAAGAAAGATAAACAGTAATCGAAATTCTCTCTCTTTCTTCCTTTCAAAGCATTTTCCACAAATAGAGATCATGAAACGAGTATTCTGAGAGCAAGTATCAGCGATTGATACTGATAAGATTGATTTCTTCCCTTGATAATAACATGAAACTAGAAAAGCATCAATTTTGTCTTTTTTCTTTTTTTTTTATTTTTTTCATATAAAATGCTTTAACAATTATGAACAGAATTCGTGGAATTATTTCGCGAATCTAGGTGAATTATTATAACAAACTAAAGGAGGTAAAACAAATGAAACCATTTTTTGATAAATAAAACAACAAACTATTTCAAGGACTTATTGTTCTCTAAGTGTTTTGTAAATTTATGTTGTGTTTTATTAACACTTGTCTGATGATATGTGTTGACAATTTAGTTTCCGAAAAACAATTATGTAAATACGAAATTATGAAATTTAAACTGATTTGCTAACTTTTCCGCGTATGTATTTTGTTTGATTTATCAAGCTGTAGATTACTACTTTAATATCACATTGAATGGTGTTGCTACATACTTACTATCTTAAATTTTTATTACTGGTGAATGTACGTTATGTTTTGAATTTTATTGACATATATATACATATATAATCTTTTGTGTGCTGCTGTATGTGTGTGCGCGCGCCAATAGTTTTTACTTATTTAAAATCAAAACTCAAAATATATTAATATACTTGTTATAATCAAAGGAGAAAATATTGATCTTATAAGAGTAAGTTTTTGAAGAATACGAAACAATTGATATACAAAAAAAAAGGATTGAAGTGAATGTTAAAGAAAGTAATGACAGGGCAACCATTAATCGTGTCTAAATATCTAAAATTTATTTTTAAAAAAGTTGCTTAGAAAAAAGATCAAATCAAAATCAGAAAATATATAAATTTACGAGTTAGTTCTTCTAATTGTAAAAAATTTGTAAACAGTTTTCTCTGTTATTTTTTTATACTAATAAAAGAATTTGTTTAATTTTATGTACAAAATATAGCATGCTTTGTTTATACGCACGCGCATTTACAGTATGACATCGGTATCGCCATAAGATATCTATAGCGAATCATCAACCGATGAAAATGCAATTTCCCTTCTATTTTACCGTTTTATTTCACGACTTTATCTGCGTTCCGGTATTCACTGCAACTACTGGAAATCTATAGCACATGTGACGTGAGGTATAGATTTTTTTTAGTACTGGCAGTGAGTATCGGAACGCAGTCTGGGATTCAAGATTTGTAGAAACACCCGCCGAAGTTGGTACTATTGTTTAAGTGTCAGATGTGACTCGTTTGATTTATTACATATGTATCTAGATTTCAATGGGGAAAAAGATGAAGTTTGTGCGTTTGAGTTAATAACGAATGATTCAGAATTACACATAGTTTTGTCTGGTTTTGTCGGTACATAAAGACCGTAAAATAGTTGATTTGTGTCGGATAAACTATACAGTATATATTGATGTAAAGTTATGGCACTGACAAACATTTTGTTGCTCAGCCAGATAGCAGGCTACGTTGTAGCTCTTATTCTGTCAATTTGCATTATTGTGCCTATGAGTTTACATCAGGATGAATTCAGGTAAACTTGAAGACAACGATGTAGAATTTAAAGCACCTCCCATTGTATATAACACAGTTTGTTTCGTCTTGACAGGGGACACTGTCTTCTCTTTTCGACTGGTGTGTGGCAAGAGTCAGACGGCCAGTTTGTGGTGAATTGGGCGTCGCGAGCGTATTGCAATTATACGATATTTGTGGGCTTGCTGCTTCTTGTGACATCGGTGGTACAAATCTACCGATTGTCCCTGCTGATGTATCGAAATGAGGACAGCTCTTTCCTGTCTGCGTTTGTGGACGTTGTCGCCTCTATCACTCTTACCATTGTTACTTTGATCGATGCAGTTATTGTAACTTTGGGCTTCATGACGTGGTGCCAAAATATGACAAAGAGATTTCCCTCCTGCGAACTTGCTGCTGGAAATGATATCGATAAAGCGGACGGAATTGATACGACCGGTTTTCACATCGAACTCGGTGCTGCCCAATTCGGCATTTGGAGTAGCTTGTCAGTTTGGGTAGGTTTGGCTGTTTTTGCCGTCCTGAAGCTATTACGGTATCATCAGTTGGAGAATATGAAAGTTTCCATGTATAGAGAAAGACAGAGATTGATAGAAGCTACCACAAGCAATCAGCAAGAACCAAGTTAAAATGTGATGATTTAAAAGTTTTATTTCTCTTAAAAATAAATTGAATGCTAATGTTTGTCGATTTACATAAAGATAAATAGGATTATATATCTAATACATATATAATGTGTGTAAATATATATCTATATGTTATACAATAATTTTTTGTGTTGTGTGAATTCTACAGTGCGCATAGAATCACTGTCAGAGAAATGATATGTTGATGTGTGTGTACATATTTCATGTATGAAAAAAGTGTCAGGCAGTCAAAGAATGAATATACTTTTTTGAAATTTTTAATTTTTTTATCAATAAACTATACATTGTAGTTCTGTTGTTAGTTACATTATTATACATTCTTTTTTTATAGTTATTATATAGTTGAGATGTATGATAATAACACAATGACAATACTATTGCATATATATTTATTATTGTTTAATTCATAGAAATAATTTTTAATTTATATTCTCTAATATTGTAATAAAAATAGTCATTTTTAGTTTAAGTTAAAAATTTATAGCTATATTTGTATATTAATAATGTATATATTTTTATCAACAGAACTTTATATTAATATAAAACTAGAAATAAATAATATATAATAAGTTACACAATATATTTTTTATGCATATTTTTTTGCTTTTCAATTATAAGTATAGTTTATTTAATTGCTTTTAATCATAAATAAAATAAGAGGAACAAACATTTGTTATAATTCAACATCATTAAATGTAAGTAATTTAAGCATTCCTCTATTACAAATTGGTTACATGCAGATCACTATATTAAAGTTATCTCCTGATGCGAACCGATTATAATGCTGTATCTCTAGCCCTGTAAAAACAATTTATAATGTACATATCATCACAATATATATCTCATTAAGTCAATAATGATCAAAACAGATATACAACAACTCAAATTATACTTGTATTTGTCTGCAATCGTTAAGTGTACTTCTGCGAGTGCCAGGTGGACATTTCCTCGAAGAAGTATTGATTATCATGGAAGGTGCAACATCTAGCAACAAGCATTCCAATTGAAATGTGGTCTCATTGACATTTAGTATTCCTTCGGGGCCGCACGGTCCACCTATTGTCCTGAGACGATGACACGTCCCATTATATGGTGCCATACCATCTTCTGAGCAAGGATTCGTAACGCAACGAGGAATTGCTTCATCCTCAGGAAGGACGACATAATTTCCAGGCGGACAAGGACCCTGTCTGTATGCTTCGTGACAGGAGTCGTTCAATGGGAAGTACAAGAATCGAGATCTGCAGTCGCATACCCAAGAATCTTTTGCGCCATCACCCGCGTAGAGAAGCATGTCTTTTGGACATCTGTCCGGTATGAATATGGGTAGACGTTCAGTTATTATCTATGAGAAGATCAAGTGTATATATACATGTATATATACACACACACATACAAATAAGATAAATTTCTTTTTTCATAATTTTACATCAACAATATATACATATATAGTTTTTGTATCATACCGTATTATTGCCACCGCTAACGTGAGACGTTTCTTCATCACGTGGAAATACCAAATCCTGGCTCCATGTCACATAGTTATACATAAACAATACAATACCAACGAGAAAGTATTTCATTTTGACTGTCAGCCGTATTGCTAAGAAAAATTAAATATAGTGTAACTCTTTCTTAAATAGTAGTTTTGAAAAAGTAGAACTTCGAATAATATCTCGGTACACGAGATACACAAATTTGTGAAACCGTCAGTACAGTTATGTAGAGATATTCGTGTTTTATCTTGTTGGAGTCAGAACAGTTATGTAGAGATATTCGTGTTTTATCTTGTTGGAGTCAGAACAGTTATGTAGAGATATTTGTGTTTTATCTTGACGCACTCGCGGAATTTCCGTAAAAAAAAAAAGAATGAGAGAAAAACATCAGTGCGATATATACATACATACATGTATATACACATATGTGTGTGTATATACGTTGCAATGCATGTATATTCTGTGTATATCAAGTTAATAGTAAAGAGAATGGTCTAGTCATTGCAATACATGTACACTAATTGACGTGTTCTGACTCTTCTTAGTATTTTTCCATACATTTATGACAAACAATATAGATATATATATTCTTCTCAGTAGTTCTGAACAACATACCAGTTTAAACTTGAGAGATGCTGTAAGCTTCTTTCGAGCGTACGTTCGGTTCAATTACTCCGCGGCTGACTAACGTTACTACGACGCCTCAAGGCTAACCAGTGTCAAACAAAAGAAAATAAAAGAGCACTCACTAACCAGAGCGAAAATCCTTCTCATCACCAATACGCTACGCGTTTCTCCGTGCGAATATACGCAGAAGCATGTGCTCATGTACACGTACGAGAAATAACGGAGAGAAGAGGAAGAGAGGAAAAGGAAGCGGTCAAAGTTCTGAAAACATGTTTTTTACAATTATAATTTAAAAGGCAAATTTTGCTCATTATAAATTACCGACACTGAAAATTGATGAGGATCGTTCTAATTTAATATCTGTTTTGTTTTATATTCTCCGCAATATTCGAGAATTATATAAAATATAAAAGTTTTATTTACCTACATATACATATCCGAAAACTATTACAAGATTATTAATCAGCTTTTAAATTATTGATTTCTAAGAAATCCAGTTCGTTATGCACACTTAAAGAGTCTTGCATAGAAGTTAAGAAATAACTGTCTTTATATTCTGGCCATGATTTGAATTCTTTGAAAAGTTCCATAATCTGTACCGGCGTTAATTCTCCGAACTGTGTAAATATCGTGTAATCTTTTGCTATTAATCTAATTCCACATCCGGGTATCCACTTTCTAAGAACAGATACGTGAGATATTACATTGTATTAAAAAAAATTCTTTATAACATAACAATTATTAGATAACATAAGTGACATACAATTTTCAAGATATTCCCAATTAATCTCAGTATATCTTTGAAGACTGCTCTCATATAACGCCCCACCAAAACTACTCTCTGCAAATATCTATCTCATATACTCACTCTAATTCCGGTATTACTCTGCTGCTGCGTTTTTGCAAATGGTGTTTTGCAAAGTAACTAAACGTTATCCAATCTTCTTGCGACAAGTGAGAGTAGAGGTCCACTTTTGGCTCTAGTTTTATCACATAAATGTTCTCATAATCCAACTTCATCTGTAAACTTATATTCTGTAAATTCTTTTTCTTTGGCCAAGGTAAAAAGGCTTTTCTATTTAATGTTCCTAGGATTTGATAATCAAACATTGTTTGAAATAACACTTTTGAACCTGTGTAAGCTCTAAGATTTTTGTTATTGCTAGTGTATTTCTGAAATGTTAGAAAATTGAAAATCTTAATACACATTTGCTAAAATAATATTTTACACACAAGAGAAAATTGAAAAAATATGAGATACAAACATGCCAGATGGACGGAGATACTCCAATGTAAAAGACCGGTCTTCCGTGAGTCATCAAGCAATTTCGATAGAGTAGACTTTTGATGAGTTGATTGAAAAACTTTTCAGATTTTATTGTACCTATTACCTGCATGGAGTTTTTATCTTCCCAATTCTTATATTCAATATCTTGCAATATCTCTTCCATTTTGTTTGCTCCTGTTATTTTATCTATATAAAGTATTTGAACTATCTTAGCAAGATTGAGATGTTTCAGATCCAATCTGTTGGGATAGTTATTGCGTATGATATCTAACAGGTGATATAACTCCTTGTTCGTTTCGTACAGATGAATCAGAGGTACGCCTGTTTTCAGCAACTCTGTCGTTAATATGCCGAAACCGGGATTCATTTCCGCAACGAAACACGTGTTCTTCAGAAGATCGTTTTTAATCAGAGAAACGTAATTCACAGCCGTTTCTCTATCAATCAAATATAATGTACGCGCATCTTTCGTTCTGCATATGTCTGTCAATTCTTTCGAACACATATGGGCCATATCTGGATTGACTTTTTGAATATATTCAATTATGTCAAGTGTCTCTTTATCATTTACGCTATTTATTTTCTTCCTCGCTTTTTTCGACTTTGTTTTTCCGACTTTCGTCTGCTCGGTATTGACATGCTTGATCTCTTCGGAACACACACGCGAGCTGTCATTCAATACGGAGCAATACGCGGCACTTGCAACGTGTTTACTTTTCAAGGAACTTAGAAGTGACAAAGTTTTACGAAACATATTACACTTATATCTTTCAAAATCACAAAAGTCTGTGTAAAAAAAAAAAAACACTATCTTAAGGTTAAGGTGGTTCGATGCGACAGAGTTAAAATTTAAAACAGATCTGTAAGTACGTCATTCTCCGGCGAAAATTCGTCTGCACGTCAAAACATGTCAACTCGAACAATCGATTAATGCAATTGGTCGATTCTTCGAGAACTAGATTAACCAATCGGAATATTAATTTTAGCTTACTTTGTTGCGATTGGTTAGATTCCAAAAAAATTCCAATCCTAAAGGTTTACGTGCATTGCAGAATTTGAACAGAGACAAAAGATCGATCCAATGACGTTTGAACAATTCGGTCAATCGACCGAAATATGATTGGTCAACTCTGCATCCGAGATCTCAAATCCGGTTTTCAGCGTCGCGTGAGCGCCTAAAAATTTCTGGAGGTGTGCAGTCATCATGAGATCGTAATCACAGCCGAAAAATATTTTTTGCGGATGACGTTTGTGCGGCGAAACTGACGGGAGAGAAACGTTACGTTACAGTTATTATTGTTGCACACACGTAGCCGACTTACACGGATACCGCATACATAATATCGAAGCGAACGGATTGTGCAATGGAGAGTATATTCCACGAAAAGGTAAAGAAAAAAAAATCATCCTGGTACACGTTAAATTTAATCTCGATATTATTCTGAAAGATATAAGAATCCGAGACACTCATATTCCGACGATGGTTCGTAGCAAGAGGGATTCCTCTGCGCTCAGCATTGCCTGAACGCGCTATTGCAAGGACCCTACTTTAACGCCGTGGATCTGGCAAATTTCGGTCACCAGATGGACGAGGAGGAGAGAATCCGGATGGCCGAGTCGGGCGTCGACAGCGAAGATTACAAGCTGTTCCTCGAGGTAAACACTACGTCACAATGTCATGGACGTTGTTTTTTTTATTTTGGGTGTGTTATCATATGTATATATGTATATTTTATAGTACCAATCTTGATAAAAAAAAAATAGACATATTTGGACCACAACAATGTAGATTATAAAAGTGACCTTTTTTTTAAAATTTTCTTGATGTAAATGCTTAGCCTTGGCATTGTCTCTTGTCAAGTGCTGAGCAGAAATGTTTGTATCAACTTGGTTCTTATGTTTAGCAACCATCGGGAAACATGGATGACAGTGGATACTTTTCAGTTCAAGTTATCAGCAGTGCTTTAAAAGTTTGGGGTTTAGAACTGATACCATATAACAGCACGGAACCAACAGCTTTACTGGCACAGAATGATCCTTCGTAGGTTATTGTTAATTCGAGATTGTATGTTTTTATGTTTTAAAACATTTTCTTCTATTGTTCTTCCAAAAATCTACAAAAATTTTTTACAATTTTCTTAAAACATGTGTGACGATAATATAAGAAATTTGTATAAATTAACACAGTAGAACAACACCTACATATTCACATATTTTCAAAATTATAAAATTAATTTTTATTTTTTAAATATATTTTCTTAGAGAATAACTTATAAATCGTCAATATAATTTTCAGACGGATGAGTGCGTATATATGTAATTATAAAGGGCATTGGTTTACAATAAGAAAACTTGGAAATCAATGGTTTAATTTAAATTCAATGCTCAGTGGACCACAACTTATATCAGACACTTATCTTGCAATGTATTTAGCTCAATTGTTGCAAGAAGGTGAGTATAAACAATTAAAAAGAATATTGACACAAGAATGTCATACCGTGTACTTAATGTATTTGTGTTTTAATAGGATATTCAATATTTATTGTTATTGGTACACTTCCACAATGTCCAGCAGAAGATGTTCTTTTGAAAAATCCTATAGTAGCGACAAAAAGTAACTTGGGTTCAGAATCAAAGGCAACACTCAAAAGTACGAAAGCGGAAGACGACATTTTAAAGGCTGCTCTAGCGATGAGCGAGGTGAAGATTCCACAACCTTCCTGCGCGAGTAGAAGCGCGTCCTCATACAAATCCGGAGTATCCGCGAGCAAACCCCGTGAAAGGATAATTCCCGTGAAAGTCGAGAGTAGAGATAACGAAAGCGAGGACGATGATGACGAGAATGTGCAATTAGCAAGGGCATTGCAGATGAGCCTGCAGAGTGAAGAGGACGATGTAGACAAAACGCTCAAGTTGAGATTAGATCTTCATACGGATAAAAACACTACGCATTTAGCAAATTCCACAGACGATACGGACGAGGATGACGAGCTTAGACGAGCGTTACAACTGAGTCTCGAATGTGTAACCGCCCCACCCACACCCGATCCCGAAGATATACGTTGGCGTCGTCTGAATCACTTTGCCATGTTCAACACGAGGACACCCAATAACGAAGCACCTGCAAAACTGAATACTTAACACAATAAGGGAAACTTCTATCTGCACAAACTCTGTCTACTATTACTAAACCTAATACTACGTTGTAAATTATACTCTTGAGAATAATTGAGTCTGAGGTACGTCACTTTATAAACTAATTGTTATTTGGCAAGATTTTATCTTACTTAAAATGGATAAATCGACTAAAGGTATATTTCCGGTTTCATGAAACTGTGTTCTCGTTAATTTTCTGTTTTTTTTCCCCTAATTTTGTTATTTGTACTACACACACTTACACACACACACACACACATAATATATACATATGGAATAAATCGTTTGAGTAAAAAATCCGTGTGTATTGCACGTATATTATATATACACATATATATATATATATATATATAAAACCCTTAAACTCTTATTTAAGTAATTAAATGTTTCTTAAATTATCTATCAGTTTCTATAATCATTTGTAATGTAATTTATTTAATCGAATACAAGAAAGTTCTAGATTCTGAACGCGGCCAATTTTCAATTTGAAGCCGAATATAACCGAAACAAGATACGAATATAGTCGAAGTGACTATGTTTTGCTCCAAATTGCTGGTCCAACCCGTACTATTGAAATAGTAAGAACTACCCCTAGTCTATATATAAAAAAAAAAAAAAAAAACTAGCTCTATCTATAGGTCTGTTCTTTTTCTTTGCACTAAGTTGCACCAAAACTGTGATTAGACCGACAAAGATTTAGTTTATGCGAACGATAACCATTAACTTATGCCGGAACCGAATGAAGTTCAACTATGAGATTTCATTTCTTTCGTTTATAATAAAATGTTCACTCATTATAAACAAAATCATTGAAATAATTTGGAAAAGAACAGACCCCGAATCCGCCACGACCGCGAACCAGAAGCGTGCACGCAGCGACCTCACGGTCATCCTGGTCGTACGGGTGAATGTTGACATTCAACATGGCGGCATGTCGTCAGTGCTGTGCTGTGTCGTGGTGAGTTTCATAAAGCCTTATTAGCTCTATTATCGCGAGCTTTGTGTAGAAATATATGCCGCACGATTCCCAGCAATTCTTATGTATAATTTGTCAATACGGCGGCTTGGCTCGAGCAACGCGAGCGCATTTCTACCTCCCACGGCATCGCGACGAGATAAGGCGCCCCGCGACTTCATAAAAAAATCAGAACTTTGTAAAACTACGAAAAAATCTTACACGCGCATGATAAAACCTGAGCGTTGTCTTTTTTTTTTTTTTTTTTTTTTTTTTTTTTAAACGAAATGGTTTTCAAACCGGGTTGGATCTCAATCGCTCTCGAGCGATTCGCGAGAATTACGCGCTCGTCGTACGTCGCGTCATCGCGATTGCTCCCTTTTCGAATTTCGTGAACGTTCCGCGTAAGCATGTTCGATAATATTTGGCGATCGCAAGACACATGGAACAAGCATCGATGGGAATATAATAATGCAACCTTACGAGAATCGTGATCATTCGCGTGATGCATGTATATATGAATACACATATACACACGCACATATGTATATATATATAAAATATATAATGTATATAATATACATATATATATATATATAATATATCTCGTGGCACACCGTGCGATATCATGTTTGCATACGAATTTTTAACAATTATGTGAAGAATATGTAATGATAAAATAATGTTTCTTCAGTACAAGTCAATGTCAAACTATCATATAATTGGATACAGAAGTGTGTTTGTCTCGCTATACAGACTGCTATAAATGGATATGTTATTATCTTGTTTGGGTTATTTTTTTTAGACATTTTAAAAAGGCATTTTGTAGAGATAAAGATATATACAATATATAATATTTATACATATACATAGAGTGTTTATATATGGGTATATATATTTTCAGTTTACATTTTGTAACATTTTTTAAAGATGTTTTTTGTTTATTACAGTTTTCTATATATATATGGTTTCAAAATAATTTTCAATTTTTATTACAACAAAACTTGTAAAAGTTTGGTAAATACTTACTTGTCTTTGTTCATCTCATTATTTTATAAGCTTATGTATTCTATGTAATTAATTAAATTATACATAAATTATATGAAATACTCTGTATTAAAACCTGTATACTTTAATTAACATAAAACTTGCAATCCATGAATAATTATAAATAGACTTTATGTATGCAACTTATATTTAAATATTTTTTAAAATACTGTTTTTGTTGCAGCTTGTGTCGTTGTTAGTTTAGGACACTTCTGAAACTAAGGCTCACTGTAAAATCTACATTTAAAAGCTGAAGAAGGAAACGCTATAGAAATATTGGAAGAACACAATCAGACTCAGCACGCATTGAAGACATCTGAGGATTTTCAACATTTATCCTTTAAATCTCCTATGTTTTTGATTTACTCTTTTATAAAGGATGACTGGTGTTTAAAAAGAAAACACAGTCATTCCAGTGTATCCTAAATTGAGTATTTATCAAAAACAGTTGTAATATTCAAACATACGTAAGGAAAGTATTGACAGCATATGGATTGCTAAGATTTTGTACTCGCATTAAGTGGTAAATCAACATTATAACTGCATTGTTCATTTGTATATTGTACACAAGGTTTGTGGTCAAGAGATAGGTGAGCCAATACAGTGACCGTGATTGTGATTGCGGCTGAGATAGTACTGTTTTGCTTGGTTGACAGAACATCTTTATCTGCGTTCAAAGAGTGCCAAGTTCGTGTGTCGAGCTGCCGCGGTACTCTCGAGAATAAAAATAATTCACAATACACGCGTTTAAAAAAAAAAAAAAAACAAAGATAAGATACTTTGAAGAGATTTTACTTCCACTTCCTGGTTAACACAAAGAAGCCTGCATTTCTGCGGCATTTCAAGAAGCCACTCTTCCTCTTCATTAAGTTCTTGTAACATTATAATAGCGAACAAAGATATAAAGTACCAAGAACCATTCTGTGATATCTATGTTAACACTTAAATAATTGAAAAAGACTAAAAATTTTTAAATATAAGTATATATATATTATATATATTGTGGTGAAACAAGAAGTGTGGACATAAAGGGAATTAAGTAACTTTTCAAGAGAGAAAGAAAGCTAAATTATACGTAAACAACATTGTGTAAAAGTTTTGAAAAGACAATGTCCAACAATCCTCAGTGGAAAACGTTCCAGCCGCCAATCATGAATTCTGACCCAGCAATACTTGAGTTTAAGTCAATGTCAAGTCCTATATCGAGTCCTAAGGCCATCACAGGAGCTCATCAGCCAACAACTAACAATTATCGAAATGGCACCAACTACAGTGGTGATCACTATATGGGTTCACCTCCTGGATGCGGCAAAAATTCTACAGCTAATTATGGAAATTATCCTGTGCAGTCGTCGCCACGCAATGGAGCCACGAGATTTCCATTTGACTTTACGGGGATGGATGCGAGTGCTGGTTATACCAGCGAACCAGTCACTAATAACTCTACCTATCAGGATCAGTCTGCGAATCAAGGAACACGAGAAACTGGAATAATCGAGAAATTATTAGTAAGTGTTGCGGATGAATCATTCCATCCTCAGTTTAAACTGTTTGAGAAATCCATAGGCGAGTAATTTCAATTTTTACTTTTTGTTCAACAGCATTCTTATGGGTTCATACAGTGTTGTGAAAGGCAGGCAAGACTGTTTTTTCATTTTAGCCAATTTAGTGGTAATATTGAACATTTAAAGATTGGTGATCCAGTAGAGTTTGAAATGACATACGATAGACGAACAGGCAAGCCTATCGCAAGCACCGTCAGCAAGATCGCTCCAGTGGTTAGTAAAAACAAACATAGTGAGGAAAGAATCGTCGCTAAAAAATAGAAATAAACATCAAGCGTCTCTTTCTTTTAGGCGCTAGGTGATCAACGCTGTATCGGTAACGTGACAACAGAATTGCAAGCGAGCGGCGATTCACAAGGACGCATCAGCTATGAGAATCGTGGTGAATGCTTTTTTCTACCTTATACCAAAGACGATGTCGAAGGAAACGTCACTTTGCGCGCTGGTGATAAAGTATCATTTCAAATTGCTACTAATCAACGGTAAGATAGATGAGCTGTCGATGTAAAATTGCACGAGCAGCGATCTCTCATGCGTTTTAACTTCAGAGGAAACTTGGGGGCGTGTAACGTAAGGCTGGAAAATCCAGCCCATCCGGTTCGTTATCGAGGAGTGGTGTGTTCAATGAAAGAGAATTTCGGATTTATTGAGCGAGCCGATGTGGTCAAAGAAATATTCTTCCATTTTAGCGAAGCTAAATCGATGAAAGAGGAACTTAGGCTAGGCGACGATGTGGAATTTATAATACAAACGCGTAATGTAAGCAAAAAGAAAACTATATATCTTTCGCATTTTACACATCTTGTTTTTTTATTCGCCTTTTAATTTAAATGAAAAGATCATAAGATTTATTTTGATGCTGCAGGGAAAAGAAGTAGCTTGTAACATTACGAAGTTACCGCCCGGTTCGATTGTATTTGAAGAGGTAAGCAACGAAGTGGTGAAGGGTCAGGTATTAAAACCTTTGGAGAGAGGCACTGCTGCTCGTCATCAAAACGATCCATTACCTGGACGTATACGATATAGAGATAGCGACCATTCTGAGGTCGAAGTACCTTTCGGTGATAAAGATCAAAAAGGAGATTTTACTCTTAGGTAATGTATAACAATTTACGTACTTGTTTCTCGTTTGTCTGTTTTAAATAAATAAAAACAATTTTATTACTTAAAATTTCTCTGATTGTTTTTTAATAGACACGGAGACTGGGTGCAATTTCGTATTGCAACAGATACCAGAGATCAGTTGAAAAGGGCAACGGAAATAATGTTGTTGCCGGAATCATTTACTGTGTCCGGAGAGAAACGGGAGCAAGGTACTATACAATCTCTTAAGGATGGATTCGGCTTTATACGTTGCGTAGAACGAGAGCCCAGACTATTCTTTCACTTTAATGAGATTCTTGATGTTGATAGAGAAATCAGTGTAGGGGATGAAGTTGAATTTACAGTTATACAGGTGAGTACACGTGATCCTGTGCTAATATTATTCGATATCTAAGAAATCTTTCAGTCTCTGAAAAATAAATTCTTTGTTATCGCTATTTATTTTATAAAACTGTCTCTGACTTGTAATTTGTTTTTTTTTTTTGTAAGGACCCCTCATCGTCCTTCTCTAATACTCGACAGAGTGCTATTCGACTGAAACATTTGCCAACCGGTACGGTAAAGTTTCAGACTATTATCGAGAAGGATATATTAGGTACTGTAATACAAGATACAAACGCAATGGAGCCTGGCCTTATCGGCTATGGCCAACAGAAGAGCATTATTTTCTTCTCCAAAGATTGCGACCCTAAACATATTCCGAAATTGGGTGATAAGGTAAACAACATGTCCCAACTTGAAGTGCGACTGATTGTGTACTGACGTATGTTTGTTCCGTTGTATACAATATTGACTCTGATTACAGGTGATGTTTACTATTGTTCAAGTAAAACGCAACAAAGAACTTGTTGCTGAAGACATATTTTTAGTGAATGCTGCCGGTGAAAAAATTCAAACTACTAATAAAAAATCAAATGGACAAGTTTGTCAAGGTTTTATTGCTGCCCTTAAAGATGGGTTCGGCTTTATTGAGACAGTAAATCACGATAGAGAAATATTTTTTCACTACAGGTGAGAGAAGAGAATGTATCTTATAATCTATCTCTAAAATATGTAAAATTTTTTTATCGAGTTTTGAAGAGACTGAAAAATCGCGAGCTTATACGAACACATCAATAATTTAACGAAATCCGTCTATTCTAAATTGTTAGCAAAATCCTGTCGCAACCTTTTGTTGAGCATAGTATTCGGTGTTTTATTTGCAGTAACTTTGAAGGAGACGCTAATACGTTGGAGTTAGGAGCCGATGTCGAATTTACAATTAGTAATTCAAGCAACGGGAGAGGTTCCGGAGGTTGCGTAGCTGCTGATCACGTGAAACTGGTGTCTCGCGGAAGTATTCCCAGACCGACGCCGGTCAGCGACGTGCTCGATGGCACTGTAGTACGACCGTTGCGAAGTGCGAATCCCGAGCAGGCTGAATATGCCGGTTTGATTAAGATTAATCAAACTAACGAGGACGAAGAAACGCCCGAATACGAATTCGGAATCATGGGACTTTCTAATAAACGAGAGCTCTTGCAAGCTGGCGATCCTGTACAGTTACAGGTTGATTCGGCGGGTCATGCTTGTAATATTGTGGCCGTCAGGAAGAAGAGAAGAGCGACGGTGGATGCGGTGAAGGGCCCCTTCGGTTTTCTTGCTTACGAAATTGATGAAGGAAAGAAATTATTCTTTCATATAAGCGAGGTCCGAGATCACGCTACGTTGCAACCGGGCGATCAAGTAGAATTTGTCCTAGTAACCAATCAACGTACCGGCAAGTCATCAGCATGCAATGTAACTCGATTAAGGTGAGTTGAGGCAAAAGTTTGTATGTATGTAGATTTGTTCTGTACAATTGTCACGCCGTAATCGTGGATTTGTATCATTAACAGCGACGTTCAGCAACGTCCCGAGCGATTGATAAGTCGGTTACGTACCATATCTTTGGAAGATACTGGCCCGAAATTAACGGTAGTTAGACAACCAAAGGGGCCGGATGGCACGCGCGGATTCAACCAGGAAAGATGCCAGCGTACTCCTGGTGCCATAGAAGAGTAACGCATCTCTCATGAGACAGGATTACTGATTATCTAAATTATGATATATATAATTATTTGTTTTAGTCGATACACACTTCGAATTACCGAAATTATTAATGTAAGCATGATCGTAAAACATTTGCCAAATTCACAGACTAATGCGACAACAGTAATTATAATGATAAATAATCTGAAACTGGATGGTGATCGAAAAAAATGGCCGGAAGAGAATATAAAAATAAAAAAAAAAAACGAACAACGACTCATTTTATCACCTCATAAACAAGGAAAACGGACAGAAAGGCATTTTTGATAAATTTTATTTTCAAATAACGTGAAGTTGTCTTGCTCGAATACACGATTGATTTTTGTCCTCAGTTAATGTTCCGCCGCGTCTTCATGCAAGTTTATTATAACTAAGCTACTTTTGGTCAATGTTATTTTTCTAAACGTAAATCAGTTGTCTATAGAATTTATTAAAAGTCTATAGAATTCATCAATTTTTTAGCGTGTTTTTATTTTCATAAAAATTTAATCGAAATGCACGTTATTCTGTCGCCAAATAACGATTATAAAAGCAACAGAATTATAAAACTAAAATGAGTTATTAAATAATAGGTTAAAAAAAAGCAAAGTAAATGAAAAAATGAAATTGGGAATTTCAATCTTCTCATTTGTGCGCTCTTCTAAAACAATATCTTTCTGTCTTCGTGAGAAATATATTTACAAGTTTCCTGAGATATAAATTTATTTACTTTGTTTCTTTTTCAAACAACTATTTTTTGGTTTTTGCTTTTTTAGATCTAAACTTCGCTAAAAAGAAAACTAATGTATGCAGATCGTTACACGTGCGATATCGATTTATATCGATTTATATAACTATAAAAAAGTGAAAGAAAAAAAGATAGTTTACGCTGCGTATTCTTACTCGAAATTGGCTGTATAATATTATATCGTGCAGTGAGTTTTGTTGTAACACTATGAATTTGTAACTAAAACAAAAGGTAGAAATTACGACTGGCCAACTGTTTGTCTTAGATCATGTGTATGTGTGTGTGTGTATGTACGTGTGCATATGTACATACACACACATGTGTCGTTAAGTTCCTCTAATGCAGTCTCGTAAAGTTGTAAAATCAAATTAGTATTAACGGAATACTGTGGACATATATAAAAATTAAAACTTTATGTAAAAAGTAAATAAAAAAATCATGTTTTTTATAAGTTTTGCCATCTAAAAAAAACAAACAAAAAAGATAAGCGAGGTACATGTGGCATTATTGTAGAGATACGTGAGAGAAATTTACATAACACAAGGTGTAAATTAAAAAAAAAAAAAAATAAAAAAAATAAAAAAAAAAAAAAAAAAATACAAGCACGATGCAAAGTAAGGCGCTTGTTCTGAAACTCATGGATCGAACACATCATGTGCATATATATATATATATTGTAAAATTATTGATGAATAAACAATGGAAAGCATCGAAAAAAAATATACATATACATATAATTTACTTTAACTTTCTATATGAAATCTCAAAGCTCTCTCTTATAAAGACCGCAGAATTGACTTGCGGCGCAATTTTTACAGTTTACTTTAAACACGTTCTATGATCGCAATTATAAGATTTCGGCGACGACGATTTGCGTGCCATTTGCGTGTGTGGTGTGTGTACGTGTGTGTTACATGGGATGTAAAACGTGAAATGAGAAACTGTAAACTGTAAATGTCTCTCGTTTGTTTTACTATTTATTATGTATGTACAAAGATGTGTAAATATGTTTTTTTGTGGAAATATGCGTTTTCTTTTTATGTATCATATATTAAGACGAATTTGAGTCAGAAATGAGATTTAAGATAAAAGAAGAGATAAATTCATGAATTAGATTACGACGCACTCGTAAGGGAACTGTCCCCGGAAAAGTAAATTGTCTGGTCGTGGGCAGGCTGTAACACACAAAATTGTTCATGTTAATTTCTTCTCTAGTTCTCTTCTGCGTCGTCGTGAAAATGCTATGTTGAAAAGAAATTCGAAAAATATGACGAGATTTCAATGTTAAGTGATACACTATTTTTTTCTTCCATTGAAATATCTTCCTTCGCTTTGTTACAAATCCCACTAGCGCCGGCGATAGAAAATACGAAAAAATTTTCTACAATATGATGAGCCAAGATCGTGGAAGAAGTGTGGAGTCGATGAAAAAAAAAAAAAAAAAGATAGCAAAACTTATTGCTGACGTTAAGAAGATACTAACGTGTCTCACAGTAAGTGCCGTAGAATCCAGTTCCTTCGCAGCGACATTTAAATTTCGGCTCCGATGAAATCTGTGAACATGAGCCTTCGTTTTGACAGGGTTTCGACCTGGAACATATGTCATTTGGTCCACCTACAACGAAAAGAGGCGATTACTTGATCTCGAGTACACCGAGACGGCAACTTGAAGATAAACGTTTTTTTTTTTTTTTTTTTTGGAAAAACTCCGATAATGACGAAATTTTGAGGGAAACACGTGTCGTCAACGTGTTTATGGTTCTACACGGAACTCAACGGATAAAAAAAGAACAAGTATGTTATTCTTGTTTGTTATTACCTGTCAGTGCTAATTTACAATCTTCATTGCTATCGTATCTGTATTCTGACTTGCAACCATAGCCGCAACTGCATTGCGCGTTGTAGATGCGACATCCGTATCGCATTTGATCCAACTCGCAGCCTCCCGACAGTATAACTGCATTGTATGAGCAAAATATTTATTTTAAACTATTCAAACAAAAAAATCAATAATTTTATGTAAAAAAAGCAAAAAATCTCTCTCTTTCTCTTTCTAGCGAAGAACATCTAGAATAAGGAAACTACATCAACATTTTGTGCGTTATCTGTTATTAATAGCACGGATAGTACACACGTTATCGGGGTAGGATTAATAGACGAGAATTTATGTGTTTTGCGTTAATTAACGATCTACATTATTTTTAGATGGAATGGTATCACGGATGCAACGGGAATATCTACGGTTTATTTACCCCGAGAAGAGATAGCGGAGACAAATGCTTGCGCCGGATACGGCCTGCCTGCACTTCCCACTTGTCTAAATTGATAAGTGTTTCACGAGATAGAGGATATCGCGCGTGGGTTAATTGATGTTCAGATTCGTTTATTTTCCGCCGAACAATTGCGACATCCAATTTCGCCAGAGTTTGAACATGTTATAAATTTGTAACACACATTTTTATTCCGATTTATATTTGTTTTAATGCTGTGCGCGCGTTAAATTTCTCTCTTGTTTTCTTTTTCTTCAGCTCATTCAAAGAGAAGAGAGAGAATTGAGTTTCAAGGGAAAAGAAACGTGTGTGTGATATGTCTCGTATTTGCGAGTGTATCAGTTTCTTTTGTGCCTGACGAGAACAGATAATAAGAATATTGCAGCATCTTAAGAATGTATATAGCTTCGAATACTGTATGCGCCGAAATAGTTGATTATATTAACTTTATATTCCGCTTATACTTTGATTACATATATGTACACATCTATTTATATATATGATACATATATATCTCTGTTTGATTAGTTTATCAAAATCTATAGCTTTTATTTGCAAGTAATATTTGCAAGCGTATATTTATATGTTCTGTTATATCTTTGTCTTCTGTTCAGTATTATACCTATTGTTGAGAGCAGCAGAATAATTGACATCATCAATCTTGGTAACATGATAATCTCCCGGATGAGAGGAGAGAAGTCGAAGAAAAGAGAGACAATAATCCAAAAGAAGAGTTCGAAGAAGAAGTCGTCGACCGCTCGATGTCACTGGATTTGTTGTGAAAGATCAGAGATCAAATCGGATCCAACACGAGGAGACACTAAGGTCAGTGCGGGATCTTTCTTTTGCGCGCACGTTCTTTCGTCGGCTCCGCCGCGAACGGGGGAAGCAGTTGTCGTGCTCGGGGAAAGAGTCGACCGTACCCGTTGACTTGTGGCAGCAAACTGTTCTTGACTGCTTAGCAGAACGACGCGTGGAAGCTATCCAACGGATCGAGAAACCATGCGTGGGGTGTGTGCGGCCTGGCGGCCACCAAGTTTACAAATAGTGTCCAAGAACAGACACAAAGTAACATCTTTTTGAAATAAGACACATTGACACATATATGAACACGAGACTACACTAGTATAAATTTATAAACACAAGACTACACAACTTTTTAATTGTTTTATAATTTTTTTTTTTTAATTAAAACAAATTCTCTCAAAAATTCAATAAAAGCTTTCATAACTTCTTTTTTTAACCAATGTATGAAATTTTTAATTATGAATGTTTAAAACAAGGCCTATTAAGGAAAATTTAAATTAACAGATTTGACCGTTTATCGTCGTAACACGTATCGCCTTTTAGAATTCGATAACATTTGACACCGACGAGAGGAGGGGGATGGACTCTAAGTCCGGAAATCGATGAGATGCGTGTCATGGAACGAACCATAAAAAAACCGTAAAATTTGCTCTTGACAAAGCAACGAAATCCAATAAAACTCCCATTCGAGAGAGATCAAGAACGATATGTCAAAAGTGCATCATGTGTCATCACTGCAACGAATAAAAATATACAATTTAAGGCCATGTAACGATAAAGACATCCACACTTGTTATAGTTGCAATAATTTATTAAAGCAGATTTTTTTTTTTTTTAGGGGAGGGGCATTGATTACACAAATGTAAGATTTCATTTACATATTAAAACTACGTCTACGGATAGTAATTGCATACTATCAGTATATTTTACAATCTTACAATATGATATTAAATCGAATCGGTGCGATTTGAAACCATACACACGCGAGCGGTGGTGTTATTTATTTAATAAAATATATCTCAAATAGATTTTGTATTTTTAAAGTCTAACATAATATAGATATTCTGGAATGTTTACAGCGCGATTTTAACGGATCCATTTAACATTTTCAAACGATTATCCAATATTGTCATTTACATTTGCATAATATTAATAAGCTACTTTACGGAAAACAAAAATATCTAGAACATTCGTGAACTTCTCAAATAGACTACATTACTTCTTCAATAATTGTTTATTTTCACACACTTTATTATTTGCGTGATGCGTTTTCCAAAGTCTGGAATATTTATATTCTAAAACAAATATTTTTAATAAAATTTTAAATTAATTATCTCGTATAGCTCTCAATAATAGTCGATTTAAATATTGTAGTACTTTACATGAATGTTTGATCATGTTGTTCGTGAATCATCGTTGCTCTTCGGGACTGAACCAATCCGGATTGCCTGTTATACAATTCTCTAACCAGACCGTCCTTCTCTTGCTCAAGCAACGCTATCCGTTGACTCTTTTTACTAACTTCCTATATATTGCATCACAAAACAATTTTAATTAGATTAATTGCTCTGTAATGTTTTCTTTTTATTATTATTATAAAAAATAATACACTACCTCTGTTAATCTATGATTTTGTTGTTTAAGCCTAGACAACATGTCCTGATGAAGCTGAGCCGAAGTTGGAGTACTCAAGAAAGCAAGATTCATATGAAAAGGAAGTCCTCCGCGTTCCCAACTGCTTATCAAGGCCGCTAAATGTCGATTTACTTCCAGAACTCGTGCGCGTTGCAGTTCCAAGCGCTCTTGCTGCGCCTCTGTCCATTGTTCCTAAACAAAACCAAATAGTCGTACGCGCGCATTTTGCAAACAAAAACATTAAAAAAGAAAAACTCGTTTTTATTTATACCACGTGAGAACCCATTCGTCCAAGGTGCTTGATTTTTTCCTGAGTGGCTGAAATTTGCTTCATATACCATTCTCTAGCTTTATCAACAGCAGCTAAACCTTGAAGTAAGACATCCTTTTCTTGCTCAATCTGCTTCATTCTTTTCATCTGAAAATGTTATACATTATAGAAATATTTTTTTGCTTAAAATATATACACATGCATATATATATATAGACTATATATATATGGAAGTCTATATATAAGTAGTCTATATATATATAAGTCTATATATATATATAGACTTCCATTGATCTAATTTAATATACTTGAGAGAATTGTGTACTAGTATGTATTGGCATTGAGTTTTAGTTAGTTCATACCCAGAACCAATCACCACACCGCATGTTAGTTGGGAGTCTTTAGAGGATAACATCTTTACCATATTGTAATCAATACCATTCTGCAACGTGTGTCGCCTGGGTTCTCTGCGACGACCAGTTGATTTCTTAGGCTGAATGGCAAGCTGATTACTCTGTATATCAATCGCTTTGCCATCCCCCAGTGCTCTGGTTTGTCTTAGTAATGACCTAGCGTCCGGTCTGTAATTTAGAGTCTGCAACTGACGTTTCTCTTTCTCGTCGTTCATTATGAGACCCATTTGCCAGTTTTGTAAAGCGGTCCTGATCTCGGACTTATCAAAGTTACGCTCCATGCCCATCGTTCTACCTTCCAGAGCGGCTCCTGTCCTCGGGGGTTTCGGCGGGCCGTATACTTTATTGAGCTTCGGCTCTCCAAGATTTCTACCATCCATCAACTCCAATTGCGGATTCATGTCCTTGCGATTGGCCAGTAACTGCGGCATGCTGAGGGTGCGTTGCTGAGATATGGCATTGTTGGGTCGAATGGCAGCGGTATTGGGGGATGTCCAGGCCGCTTTGTTCTGACTGTCGGGGTTAAATATCGGCGCGGATGGCGGCCTGTTCGGCTGGGTGTCGTGCTTCTTGGAATCGGTCTCCCCCGTTTGTATCTGCAGCAGACAGATCTTCAAACCGGCGCAGAATCTTTCAAACGACAGCATTCCGTTCGGCGGCGTGACCTTCTTCAGGCTGTCTAGGACGCCCTTCGGCAGACCCTGCGTGCCATCGTCCTGCCAGCGACCTTCGATGTCGGCGAACTTGACGAAACCGGTGTTCTGATCGTCCATTATATCGAACAATGTTCGCATCGCGTTGACGAAGTGTTTCGGCAGACCGTCCACCGTCGACGTCTGTATTTGCGCCATATTTTTCTTCACGTATGATCAAGATTCGGAAAAACGTTTGTGCGTTATCTTCTAGGACGCGACGACAGATGCATCGTCAACAAGTGCTCACAACAGCGATCGTCGACTCGACCACGTGGATCATTTTCTCGCGGACGTTTTTCCGCACTTGTCGCGCATTCTCGTACGTCGGTCGACGAATTGTCATTGACTGCCGCAATCGTTTGTACTTAACGGACGCATTGTTTATTGTCGTTGACACAGGTTGATTTTTCCTCAGGGTTAACCTCCTCGCCATATGCAATCGCGGCGGGTGTGTACATCTCGTTTAGCAGAGATTTGAACTATTTTGGAACAAAGATTCGAACCCTTTTCGTTATTATCGTCTTATGATAACGAAAGTGGTTCGACTCCTTGCTTTAGCAGGCTTTAGTGATTCCGATCTTCGCTCAAACGGTTCGAATCTTCGAAGTGTGTTTGAGGATGTTTAAAAGGTTGTTATATTGAGAAAACACAGTCTCTCTCTTATATGATTGTATGATTTTTAATTTAATTTTAACATACATACATTGATAACAGTCTAATATTTTGGCTGTACATTTAATAGTGAAGTACATTTAATAGGGAAATCGGGACAAAGCCGAGAAACAACGTTAAGTTCTATAATTAAAAATTAATTAGTTCTATAATTAAAAATTAATTATAATTAAAAATTAGTTAATGCTGAAACTCCTTCGAAACTTCTTCAATATTATTTAATTTGCTTCTCAATGCTCTACTTTATTTAAATATTTTAGCTTATTCTTCACATTTACTTTCTTACGAGCAAAATTTAAAAAAACTGAAACTTTTAATTGTTTATTTATTATACACAAAAATTAAGTAGGAATAAAAAGCGTTCTTGTTTAAAACATTTCATTTTCAAAGCGTTATTGTCAATTTTTCTAAAGTGCATGCGCAAATAGATATAAGAAGATTTCGAAAGACTTATTTCGAATCTGACGCTATCCGAGTAATTCAAAAACAGATGGAATATTTGTTACATATATTGCAACGTTTGAAATTCAGATTATTTCGAAGATCCAAGCGATTGCCGATTTTTGCAACATGTTATTCGGTATTACATTCGAATAATCCGAATAACGCAGATCTGATCGAAATCAATCTCGAAATATTTGAGATACTTTTGAATACTCGGAAGCTTCGTAATATATATTACTTACTTCGTAATATATATTATCGGTGGCAATTGCGTTTAATTTTCTAGAGCGATCACGTCTTCGCTGTCACAGCGCGACTGATCGGTATTATCTTGAGTGCGTGGTTCGTCGGTGTTCGGGCTGTCGTCCTGATTATCGCTGTCAGATGACGAAGTATCTTGCGGTATCTCGATACCGTGCGTCAGCATACTCGTTATTCGTTCGACATCAACCGTATCGTCCTGCTCGTGGATCTTCTTCAGAGCATTTGATACTATGCAAAGATCGCCCCGCAGTTCGCTGACCACCGCCGTGATCTTCTGGGCGTCCGTCAGCACCTCCACCGACTGGGTGTACGGATTATATCGTATTCCAAACGGTCGTTCAATCTGATTAGCAAATGCTCTGGAAGCAAACAAAAAAAAAAAAAAAAA